ATGCTGATCGACAACCCCCGCCCCCACCCCAGTCTGTTCTATCTAGACCTTTCTGGCCCATGTTGCTACCTCTTCAGATATACAGGATGTAACCCCCAGGGAAAACAGATCCTTTAGTCTTGTTGCTGAAAGATTTTTAAGAAATATTTAAATCTCTCCTGTTTATCTAATACTATTGTAACTCTTGATTGGAAGATCTTAATAAAGAAATGTCTCTTCTTCCTGATCTTTTATTTTGAAAATTTTCAATCTACAGAAAATTAGGTCAAATTATATAATAAACATCCTGTATCTTTCATCTGTCCTCACCATTTGCTAAAAACTTTTCTACATTTGTTTTTATCTTTCCTTCTCTATACGGATGTATATGCTCTTTGGGGTACAGTTAGACATTTCATCCCTAAATGCTTCTTGTCACAGGATTTTTCTTATACTTTTTTTTTCTTATACATTTCCACCAAATTAGAATATGTCAGTTCTCATGATGAATGACGCCAGAAGATACACTTCTTGGAAAGTCTCATTCTTCCATGCTTAGACTTCCTCCAAATAAAGTTTTCACCTCACTTTATATTACATTGATTTCTTGTTTTATTTTTAATAAATAGTTTCTAATTTTTTGTTTTATTTTATAATAAGCATTTTCTTATCACCCTCTAACACCACCCACCACCACTACTCTTATTACTCCTTTTGGATATTTTTTCACTTTTTAAACACTATGATAAATATAACATTAAATTTGACATTTTAATCATTTTTATTTTTTTATTTTTTTTAAAGATTTATTCATTTATTTTGAGAGAGTGAGAATGAGAGAGAGAGAGAGAGAGTACATGAGAGCAGGGAGGGTTAGAGGGAGAAGCAGGCCCCCCGCCGAGCAGGGAGCCCAACGCGGAACTTGATCCCGGGACTCCAGGATCGTGACCTGAGCCGAAGGCAGTTGCTTAACCAACTGAGCCACCCAGGCGCCCCCATTTTAATCATTTTTAAAGTATATAGTTCAGTGGTGTTAATTATAGTTACAGTGTTGTACAACCATTACTATTAACTTTATAAACCTTGCATCACTCTAAACATGAAACTAACCATTAAGCAAGAACTTGCCCTTTCCCCATTTCCTTGGTCTTTGGTAAACTCTAATCTACTTTCTGTCTTTATGAATGTGTCTATTCTAGGTAGTTCACATAAGTGGAACCATATATTTGTCCCTTCTTGTGTGTGGCTTATTTCACTTTGTATAATGTATTTAAATCCATCCATATTGTAGCATGTCTCAGAACATCATCCCTTTTGGAGCACTTGAGTGGCTCAGTCAGTTAAGTGTCTGACTCTTGATTTTGGCTTAGGTCATTATCTCAGGGTTGTGAAATGGAGCCCTGCATGGGGCTCTAAGCTGGGTGTGGAGCCTGCTTAAGATTCTCTCTCCTGGGGCGCCTGGGTGGCTCAGTTGGTTAAGCGACTGCCTTCGGCTCAGGTCATGATCCTGGAGTCCCGGGATCGAGTCCCACATCGGGCTCCCTGCTCGGCAGAGAGTCTGCTTCTCCCTCTGACCCTCTTCCCTTTTGTGCTCTCTATCTCTCATTCTCTCTCTCTCAAATAAATAAATAAAATCTTAAAAAAAATTCTCTCTCCCTCTTCCCCTCCCCCATCTAAAAAAGAACATCTTCCACCAAATAATATTCCATTGCATGCATATACCACATTTTGTCAATCTCTTCATCTATTGGTGGACACTTGGGTTGTTTCCACCTTTGGGCTATTGTGAATATTGGTGTACCAGTATCTCTGAGTCTCTTTTCAATTTGGGGGAATGTATACAAACCTAGGAGTGGAATTCCAGGGTCATGTGGTAGTTTTACGTTTAGCTTTTTGAGGAACTGCCAAACTGTTTTCTACAGTGGTTGCACCATTGTATATTCACACCAGCAGTGTATGAGAGTTCCAGTTTCTCCATATCTTACCAATGCTTATTTTCTCCTAAAAATTTTTTGTTGTTGTTGAAGCATAATTAACAGTGTTATTATATTAGTTTTAGGTGTATCAAGATAAGTGTACTCTTAATCCTCTTTTATCTGTTTTACCCATCTCCCCTACATACCACCCCTCTGGCAACCACCAGTTCTCTGTATTTGCGAATCTATTTTTTTGTCTCTTTTTTTCTTTGTTCATTTGTTTTGTTTCTTAAATTCTACATAGGAATGAAATCATATGGTATTTGTGTTTTTCTGTCTGACTTATTTCACTTAGCATTATATTCTCTATCTCCATCCATGTTGTTGCAGATGGCAAGATTTCATTCCTTCTTATGGCTGAGTAATATTCCATTGTATATATAATACATCTACTTTACCCATTCATCTATGGATGGACACTTGGGTTGCTTCCATATCTTGGCTATTATAAGTAATGCTGCAGTAAACATAGGGGTGCTTGTATCTTTTCAAATTAATGTTTTTGTTTTCTTTGGGTAAATACCCAGTAGTGGAATTAACTGAATTATATGGTAATTCTATTTTTAGTGTTTTGAGGAACCTCCATACTATTTTCCACAGTGGCTGCACCAATTTGCATTCCCACTAATAGTGTATGAGGGTTCCTTTTTCTCTCCCTCCTCGCTAACACTTGTTATTTCTTGCTTTGAGTTTAGCTATTCTGACAGTGTAAGGGGATATCTCATTGTGGGTTTTTTTTTAAATCTAAATTTAAAAAGTTTTAAAGATTTTATTTATTTGAGGGAAAGAGAGAGAGAGATAGCATGAGCAGTGGGGAGAGGGAGAAGCAGGCTCCCTGCTGAGCAGGGATCCCGACGCAGGTCTCCATCTCAGGACCCCCGGATCATGACCTGAGCTGAAGACAGATGCTTAACTGACTGAGCCACCCAGGCAGGCACCCCTCTCATTGTGTGTGTGTGTGTGTGTGTGTGTGTGTGTGTTTTAAGATTTAATTTATTTATTTGACAGAGAGACAGAGAGAGAGGGAACACAGCAGGGGGAGTGGGAGAGGGAGAAGCAGGCTTCCCATGGAGCAGGGAGCCCGATGCGGGGCTTGATCCCAGGACCCTGGGATCATGACCCCAGCCTAAGGCAGACGCTTAACGACTGAGCCACCCAGGTGCCCCTCATTGTGGTTTTGATTTGCATTCATTTCCCTGATGATAAGTGATGTTGAGCATCTTTTCATGTATCTGTTGGCCATCTGTATGTCTTCTTTGGAAAAATGTCTATAATGGTCCTCTGCCCATTTTTAATCATATTATTATTATTATTTTGGTGTTGAGTTGTACAAGTTCTTTATATATTGTGGATATTTTGGTGTAGTCCCAATACTTTAATTTTGCTTTTGTTTCCCTTGCCAGAGAAGACCTATCTAGAAAAATGTTTCTATGGCCAATGTCAAAAAAGTACTGCTTATGTTTTCTTGTAGGAATTTAGGTCTCACATTTAGGTTTTAATCCCTGTTGAGTTTATTTTTGTGTATGATGTTAGAAAATGGTTCAATTTCATTCTTTTGCATGAAGCTGTCCAGTTTTCCCAGCACCATTTGTTGAAGACACTATCTTTTTCCTTTTTTTTTTTTTAAGATTTATTTATTTGAGAGGAGAATGAGATAGAGAGAGAGAGCATGAGAGGGGGGAGGGTCAGAGGGAGACGCAGACTCCCTGCTGAGCAGGGAGCCTGATGCGGGACTTGATCCCTGGACTCCAGGATCATGACCTGAGCTGAAGGCAGTCGCTTAACCAATTGAGCCACCCAGGTGCCTGACACTATCTTTTTCCTATTGTGTATTCTTGCCTCCTTTGTCATGGATTAATTGACCATATAAGCACAGGTTTATTTCTGGAGTCTATCTGTTGCATTGAGCTATGTTTTTATTTTTGTTCCAGTACCATACTGTTTTTCCCTTTCTTTGATTATAGCCATCCTGTTAGGTTGAAGTGGTATCTCATTGTGATGTCGGGCATCTTTTCTTGTGCTTATTATTGATTTGCATATCTTATTTGGGGAAATGTCTATTCAAGTCCTTTGCTCATTTAAAAACTTGGGTCCTTTTGTTGTTTAAGGGTTTTTTAGATGTTTTTGAGAGTAAACCCTTGTCAGATACATGATTTGCAAATATTGTCTTCCATTCTGCTTGTTATTTTCGCTTTCTGGATAATGTTTTTTGATGCCCAAAAGTTTTAAATTTTGATGAAATCCAATTTATGTTTTTTATTTTGCTTGTGCTTTTTCTCTTTGTAACAGAACCATCAGCAAACAATTGTTAGATGTTTGTTAGAGCTAGAGTTGCTTTTTTGGTTCGGGATCAGCAAAAAATAACAGTATTAGTTGCCACTTACTGAGTACCTCATATATACTAGGTACCTTTGGGAAGCCTGAAAAAATAATTCTAAGGAAGAGTCATAATTTCATTCTTTCCAGGTAAATCCTATTGAAACCCCTTAACCTCTCAAAGAGGTATAAACTTCCCTGTCATTCTGGAAGAAATTTAAGTCAGTACCACTGCTAGTATCTCTGTTGCACTAATCAGTTTCCTGGCATCTGCCCTGAATCCAAGGCTCTGCCACTCACACACATACTTCAGCTTCTGGAGGATCCAGGTTTCTTGTTTCTGCATTTCATTGAATTTCTTACTTAGCGCACCTGGTTTTTTACCTTACCTACCTTGTCCACAGTCATCTTTACAAACTGCTTAAGAAACTCAAGGTAAATGGGGTTCCTTACAGAGGGAATACAGTTTTGAAACAGACTTTAAATGTGTTTTATTGCACTAGGAAAGTGAGTTTCACATTTATAACTCTGAAATTCCTTTAGGAAGCTCTGTATGTGATGCTATTGATTAAAATAATTAGGTTTTTCCAATGTGTAGTGTGAGTGCCTTGTCTCTAGTATATTTTCTGATGACTTAGTAATGTTTCAGTTCCCCCCCAAACTAGGAAAACACAAATATAAAGTGTTCTATCAGTGTTTAATACAGTGTATTCTGATTTCTTCCCCTAGCGGATCTAAAAAGAACAATTGCTGTCCTTTTAGATGACATTTTACAACGTTTGGTAAAGCTGGAGAACAAGGTCGACTATATTGTTGTGAATGGCTCTGCAACCAACACTACCAATGGCACTAGTGGGAACCTGGTGCCAGTCACCACACATAAAAGGATAAATGCATCAGGCAGCATTAGATAGCAGTCGAAGATCACCTGTGCTGCTACATCCCCACCGTGGATTATATCCTGTGGCAGAAAGCTTTTCAGTTGCTGGCTGGGATAGAATAATACTGTACAATAAAAGCCCCACGCATTTCTGAGGAATATGCTGGATTCACAGAACTCTAATTCTGTACATAAATTTTAAAAAGTTAGTTTGCTTTTAGGCAAGTCTCCTCAATGCTATACTATATCCTTAAAGGGAATTTGGTAACATGGTTGATGTAGTAAGCAGGTAGGTGATCTTTGTATAAATCTTTTGTGTTTGAGACCAAGGTGAAAAAAAACACTGAAAGACATGGGTTCATTTCTATAAAATATTTATTTAAATATATCACATGTTTTTTAGACAAGTGGAGAATATTGTCATTGAATCATTTTGTCATTTGTTCTCAGTAGGTTTAACTGTTATACTAATAGTCATTAGAAAATGTGCTTACTGCCAGTACTATATTTTGTTACTCAGATTATGAGCAGAGAAAGGAAGTATAATGTTGAAAATAAGGTTTTGAAATCATGACCCAAAGAATGTCTTCATTTGCACTATCCTTCAGAATAACTGGAGGTTAATTATTGTATATTTTGAAAAATTACATTTGTAAGGGTATAATCTTGAAATGGTTAATGGCCACTGTCCGTAACCTATTCTAAACATTGAGACAAGTAACATAAAAAGAGTAATCTCTAAACTCATACATAACATTTTCTTACATATATCCTGAAGAATAGAAGATATTTTTATGAGATTAAAAATAAGTAAAGTATTAATTCATGATTTTTCACATACGTGAATATTAATTTAAAAGTTTAATCCTTTGAGTGTCTTTGATCTGTGGAAAGCACATTATTTCCTCATTTGGGTAATTTTTGCTTTTGTTATGTTGACAGTGGAGGAGAGACTGAAATATTTGTGAGTCTGGGATGCTTAAGGTCTTTAGCCAGGTGTGTATAATAAAGGTATTTGTGCTGCATTAAATTGCTTGGAAATGTTGGCATTATATAAGAGTGCCATTTATGAAATTGTGGATTTGTGTAACAGATACATTAGGTATTCATTTTATATAATGACCACTTAAAAACAATTAAGAGCATTTAAAATATAATTTAAGTTATGAAGATTGATTCTCTTTTCAGGAAAACAGCTATTGTATATAGCACAAGAGATCCTAATCTTGGATAATTCTAGGATAGAGCAAATACACCTTTATTTAAATTTCCTTTGTAGCAAATTTAATTGCCGTATGGTGCCCTATATTTCATAGTATTTATTCTCTATAATAACTGCTTAAGTGCAGGTAGCTTCTTGATTTAGTCTATATTGAATTTAGTTTTGGATATTGTATTGTTCGTTATTATAATATGCTACCCCACATAGTAGCAATAATTATAATGCTTTATTAAAATAAGTATGAGAAAATATTGTTTCATGAAAGGTAGCTTTCTAAACTCTTTTCTGTATACTCTTATCTTTATGTGAAGAAATTAATTCTATATCATTGCCAGGTGAAGTTTGGGATAATTGTTCAGTCTTAGTAGATGTGGACATTTTTGTTTTTCGTTTTTGTTTTCAGGGATGCAATAAAATATATTATTTGTACTTACAAAGCGTTATAAGTTTTTTTCTTTAATGGCAGTTGTACATTTAGTAAGTGGTAAATGATTGAAAGTAATCTTAGATAATTTTGGGTTTTGTTCTATCAACTGCAGATACCTTTTTCGAAAGAACACAATGCAGGGGCACCTGGGTGGCTCAGTTAGGCGGCTGACTCTTGGTTTTGGCTTGGGTCATGATCTCGGGGTCCTGGGATCCTCGGGGTCATGAGATTGGTCCCCTTCCACTCGTGCTCTCTTTCTCTCTAAAATAAATAAATAAATCTTTAAAAAATAAAAACTCAACAGTAAACTTCAACTTGAGGGTACAAACCTAGGAACCACCTCTGATCATAATCCCCAGACTTGGTCCCATCAATGCCTGAACTTAGACTCTCCTATCATGAACAAGGCAATTTTCCATTTTTTTAAAAAAAGATTTATTTATGTATTTGAGGAGGGAGAGGGAGAGAGTGAACCCTCAAGCCGACTCCCCACTGAGCATGGAGGCTGATGTGGGGCTTGATCTCAGAACAAGGGTCAGATACTTAACCTACTAAGCCACCCAGGTGCCCCTACTGTTGAGCTTTTAAAAGTCATACCATGTATTTATATTTTCAGGTAATCTTAATCAGGATATCAGCATAGAGGGCATCACTAAACACACTAAAAACTTTCAAATTTATTTCAGAGTTCCTTTGGGTTATTTCAGAATATCTTTAAGCAGTATACTGGCAAAAGAAGTAATTTAAACATTATTTCACATAGTTAATGATAACTTGGGTCTCATTTGTCTTCAAGAAATACTTAGGACCTTGACTGTGGAGATAGGTAGAGTATAGAGGCTCAGGTGTGCCTTTTTTTTTTTTTTAAAGAAAAAAATTTATTTGAGAAAGTGTGCACGCACGCATGCGTGCACGTGCACGTGGGAAGAGGGAGGGGCTAACAGAGAGGGAGAGAGCGTCCCAAGCAGGCTCCACCCTGAGCACGAGCCCATTGTGGGTATCTATCTCACCACCTGAGATAATGACCTGAGCCTAAGCCAATGGACTGCGCCACCTAGGCGCCCCTCAGGTCAGCTTTTCTAGTGATGCCATGTTCTTCCTTCTTTTGAATTTATAGAATCTGCCTCATCTTATTTAATTCTGGCTCAGAAGGCTTAATAGCTTACAAAGGAACCTCTGACTTGTATGTTTGGTTTCATTGCAAACAGCGTTCTGTTTTTAACCAAACACTTTAAGCTGAATAGCTATGGATGTAGTTATATTATTTTCCTTTTTTTTAGAGAAGTCCCCTTTACTTGAAAAGGGGACATGATGTAATGAAAGAGACATGAATGAATGAATGAGTTAATAGAAACTATTTTTTAAATAATTGAAAGGCTTGAATGATTCTTAACTTTTGGTTGGGGGAATGGTAGAGTTCATCTTTTGAGAGAGCTAAAGAACTTGAGGGGAGAGAAAGAAATGAATATGAAAATGAGAATAAATACAGAAAACCAAAATGGGGGGACAAATCTGAAATTTTTCTGTCTACAGATAACTGCTGTTGACACTTTAGTATATAAATGTGAATCTCATCTCTCCTGCCCACACTCTCTATTGTCTTGCCATTTCTACTTAAAATAAAATCCAGCATTCTCACTGTGGCCTGAAAAACCCTAATTTGCTCCTGTCTGCCTCCTAACTTCATCTCTAACTACCCTACTCCTTCTTAATTCCTCTCCAGCCATATTGACTTTCTCTTCCTGGGACATACATGCATGCTTTTGCCTCAGCAACTTGAAACAATATTCCTCTACTTGAAACTCTCATTTCCAGATAACTTCATGCCCCACCCCCCCCAACATTCAGGTGTTACTTTTTAAGGAAAGTTGTCTCTGACGATCTCCCTAAATTAGCATGCCTCCAGCACTCTTCGTACTGTTTTACTTTTCTTCATAGTTGTGATATACCTAACATTAAATTGTATATTAATGTATTGTGTTTTTTCTGATGCCTCTTCCATGAAGACAGGGACTTCATTTTGTTCACTGACATAATCTGGGCATAAGCAACTGTGTCTGGCACATAATAGGTGCCTGATAAATACTTGTTAAAAGTAGTTACTAAGCCATTCTACACCTTTTGCTTTGTGCATCTATACCTTTATTTATATTTAAAAAAATTATACCAGACATTCTTTTTTTTTTAAAGATTTATTTATTTATTTATTTGAGAGAGAGAGAATGAGAGATAGAGAGCACAAGAGGGAAGAGGGTCAGAGGGAGAAGCAGACTCCCTGCTGAGCAGGGAGCCCGATGTGGGACTCGATCTCGGGACTCCAGGATCATGACCTGAGCCGAAGGCAGTTGCTTAACCAACTGAGCCACCCAGGTGCCCCCAGACATTCTTTCTGTATAACATATGAACTTTTTTCCAGGTCAGTAAGTATGTAACTTTCGTGGCTTTTCCATTGTGTGGCTATATCACAGCTGATGTATCTTTCGCTCAATTATTAGATATTTTGTTTGCAAACAAAAGATTTAAACCTAGGTATGGGACAAGTCTAAAGGTTGTTCTCTTTCCATTATCCCATGCTGTCATTATTTTAGGTGGTAGTGGGTGATCCAGTAAAGTATGATTAATAGCCATTTGGGGGAGGCAAAATAAAGTGGTGAAATATCTCCATCTGATAGAACTACAAGGATGGAAAATCCAAAATGGTTGATCATCCTCAGACCTTGTTTTATATCATAAACAGTAGGCTAGAAGCATTTTGCAGAGTAGGGAAAAGACTGGGAATACAATGTCGAGTGGCTAATCCATAATTTGGTTAGAGAGCTGGGAGGCGATTGGTTAGTAGTCCGACTTATGCTTAATCAGATCAAGTTTGTCATTTTGCATCTTTTGGCTCAGTAATATTAGTCTGTATTTAAGTAAGGAAGTTAGGCTATGAAGATTTTTCTAAAAATTAATGCTTTTTAGGTTTTACCAATGTCTGTATCTTTCAAACATATTTCCAGAATGACTTTAGGACCTCCTTTGAGTCCTTAGATCAAATATAACTTCGCATTGCTTCTAATTGTTGATTAGCAGCATCGTTCATTTGAGTAAATCATTTTTCATTTAACTATCTCAGGTGCTTAATTCATCCACCTTCCCACCCTTTAATATTTACCAGTTTTTCAGGCAAAGAATTAAACTATGGTTCTGAGGAGTCTTTTTAGGTCTTTTTAGTCTTTTTAGTCTTACCATGGTAAACATGGTATCAAGGCTTTAGGGAACAAAAATTTTGAGCCATTGGTGTTTGGAAATTTACACATAACCTTAGGTTATGTTCAGTTTCGAGATAAATGTTTTTTTTTTGTTTGTTTGCTTGTTTGCTTCTCATCTTCATGAGTTTGAAAAGGAGAGAAAAAATTCCCTTTTACTCTTTTCTTTGAATCTGAACTGGGAGTTTCAGTCCAAAAGCCTTGAGTGGATGAGTGAAGCAGGAGGGCACAGAAAGGGGACCTCTGCCAGGTAAGGGTGACTGGCCTGCCTCCTGGGGGAAGCTCTACACCTCCTATATTAAAACTATTCAAAACTGGAATGTGCTCTGGGAGGAAAGCTTTACAGCAGGGAAGGATTTGTTTTTATTTTTTATTTGTTTTTTAATTTGTATTTATTTTTAAAGATTTTATTTATTTACAGAGAGAGAGAGCACAAGTAGGCGGAGTGGCAGGCAAAGGGAGAGGGAGAAGCAGGCTGTCCGCGGAGCAAGGAGCCCAGTGTGGGGTTCTATCCCAGGACCCTGTGATCATGACCTGAGCCGAAGGCAGCCGCTTAACTGACTGAGCCACCCAGGCACCCCAGGATTTGTTTTTAATAATGCCCCCCATTCAGTGGGATCATTGTGGTCAGAATGATTATTGAGCATCTACCAAGGACTGTGCCCTGTACTCTGCTCTTCATGGTACAGTATTACATTTGATCTTCAAAACAACTTTGTGAGCTTCTCTTACCCCCGTTTTCTAGATAAGGGCCTAGGATGCAGAGAAACTGGATATGGGGGCTCTGGTCACAAATCTTACAGACCATACAGCAGAGATTCAAACCCAAAAAGGTCTGTCTCCAGAGTTTGTGCTCTTGACCACCATGTCTTACCCTTTGTTCTTCTAATCTTGGCTTCAGTACACTGCATCTTGTTTCTACGACGTAGGAATTCCTCTCCTTTGATTCAAGAAGAGATCTGCTTCTCTCTTCACTCCTTACTTTGTTCTTAAAGACCTGGGTCAGCAGCGAGCACAGTCTGCAGGGCATCACACAATATGCATTTGGTGCCCAGGCATTGATGGTAGCCCCCACCCCCAGGATCCTGGTGCCCAGGATGGCCAGGGTTTAGGGATCATAGGAGGTGAACCCATTCCTGGGGAACTGGTTGGGAGCACCAGGCTATTGTATTTGGGAGTTTATAAACGAGCCTGCCACAGTAGTGTCTCTTACATCCAATCTTGGAATAAAGTGAAGGGAGGGATTGGTTTAGTGCAGATTCTTCCAGGGCAAACAGAATCTTCTCAGTCTACCCTCAGGGCCATTTCTTGTGCCCAACATGGGATTCAGGGCACCATCAACTCACCTACAGCAGTCTCTGTCACCGTAAAATCTAGTACTAAGATTTTATTTGCAAGGCTTAGGGTAGGGATTTTTCTGGGGCCAAAATATTTCTATCATTTTCCAGTTCCTAGAGGCCAGACAGAGTGGGAGTCAGCTCCACTCTTGGTCCATTTTCTTCCTTGTAATCTCCTTAGGTTTTACAGATGGACTTGACTCTGGAAGAAGCCTGAGATTGTCTCAATAATGACTTGATAGTGTCTGATTTAAGAGTTTCACATAGTATCTCCTGAGTTTTCTAAAATATTAACAAAGCCTTAAAAACATCTAGCCATTTCTCCAAAGCTTGCCTGTTGATTTGAGAGCATTTTATTTTATTTTTAAAATATTTATTTGTTTATTTGAGGGGGGGAGGGGCAGAGGAAGAGGGAGAGAGA